TGCCTTGACCACAGTAAAATCCTTCCTCTTTCATACCATTTTAGTGTCAAATTTCCTTTTTTTTATAAATTTAGTGTTGTTCAAATGTTTTATTTTACCTAACTTTCCAGATTTTCTTCAGGATATAAGCCAATTTGCAAGGCTTAATGAACTGCCTTTCCCCTACAACTGTTTCTAACCATAACCCAGTAGTTCTGATTTTGTCCTGAAGTGCTGCATTGTCAAAGCAGTTCAATCATGGGATTCCCTGATTAGCTTTGAAAATACTGCCATTATGAAGAATCAAAAAATTTACAGCAAAACGTCGCATGATAAACTACTGACACTGGCATTAGAAGATCCCCAGTTAGCCTGTTCTGAAGTGATGTGCGTATAAGGAGAAGGCTCAAGGAAGTCTCCCATGATAAAACGCCATGTGTACAGGCATCTCCCAAAAATACTGTGGTCAGAGCTACAAATCTTCCCTACAAACACATGTAAAGCATATATATGGGTGTGTGCCTGTGTGTAGAAAAGTGCACACAAACAAATACATTTTCTGTACCTTTGATGCCAAATTGTCTGACTGAGAATAAACAGTTTCCCGCAGACTGTTAAAGAGTCCTGCCAGTGTTGCCCGGTGTCGTGCCTGAGATAAGCGTCTTCTTACCACCCGGGGCTCTAACTCTTGCAGATGTGCTAGAAACCCAGGAGTCACTGTAACATATGGGCTGCTACAGTCTCCAGATGTCTCCATCAAAAGCTGCAATGGAACATTATGTTTTACTAAATAAAAAAAAGCACTTTTAAATGCTCACACAGTGGGCAGATAAACAAGTTAAGTCCAGTGTGGTGCAGCAGAGCAATCCAGCTCACTTCCTTCAGGAAATTATGAAAGGATAAAATCTTCACTTCTTTGCCTTATGAATATGAACTATTAATACGTACTTGACCCACCACTAATGGCAGATGATTTGGCTTGAAACGCACTCAACCAAGGCAGGTAAGCAATCTATCATTTCTTTCCCCACAGAGCTGTGATCAGTCTTTTTCTATGGTATACATTGGTCTCAACCTTGCAAGAGGTTCAATGCCTTCAACTCCCATTTAAATGACTAGAAGTCAGAACTCTCTGTGACATCATAAATGTTTTCTTATTAAATGGTGATGCCATATTAAATTATATTACACATGGAAACTAATAGATTTTTTAAAGCTACCTACATGCCATTTTCAATTAAATGCTAGTAGTGAGGGAGGAGGGAAGAAACATACCTAAAATATGTTAAACAGAGCTGTGATCTTGTTTCCAAGAACTGCTCTAACCGCAATTACTACAGGGAATGATAAGACCCTAAACTAGTAAGATATAATGCTACTTTAGAACTGCATGGGTGGTGTCCACTCATGGATGAGGTACTGAAACCTACCAAATTAAAACATAAGATAATTATTACTAATCTGTATACTTGTTTGGTATTGCATTATGGAATAGTAGCCACATTTGAATGCATCTGTTTACTGTTTTTGATTACTGAGTTTGTATGAATGTATCAATCATGGCAAATGCCACATAAATAAAAATGAACGTGTAATGCTTATCAAACGTTACATTTTTTATTTTTTCCAAATGCTATTAATGACTTTAATATATGGATTTAGGAACACATACAAGCACAGTGAGAAGATAGCTGATGTCCTTCAGCAGAAATGAGTCTTGGAAAACTTGCTGCCATTACCTTGGCAACATGAACAAAGTATCTGAAGGTGGCTCGGTCTCACAATTTGCATAGGGTTAAAAAGGGTTATCAAAGAGTTTGCTTTCTGTATGAAGACCAGAGCCATCAGTATTATTCCATTTTCTGGTCTGTCAGAGTAAAAGCCTCACCACCTTTTCATACTCCTATACAGTCTGGGCCTGAAAACTTCCTTCCCTCTTCTAATGTAAAATATTACCAAAACATGATGGTACATGGTGAATGTTACAGGATTTTTTAAATGTCTGCTTGTGGGGGGAAATGATCCTGATCTCCTTCCCACTCTCAACTCTTGTGAGGTGGAGTCTTGTTAACTTTTTGGCCTTTCTAAACCACAGGGGAGGAGAGATTAGGAGTCAGCCTAAATCACTTGCTCCAAGGGTTCCACAAGGGGGGGGGGGGAATAATAATCAGACCAAACAAAACCGAGTCACTAGAGCAAGCCCCAGCTTCTCCTTTGTGTCTCTAGAAAGAGAGATCTTAGAGAACCAAAGGAGGGGTGTGGGTATTTCTGCTCTTTGGATTTTTCCAGCCCTTAGCAGGGCACAAACTGTTCCAGCAGCAACGTGTCCCAGGCCTGGGGGGTGCCCCAGTATATAGGCTAGCATAGCAGGAGGGTGCCAGGACCACGCTCCATGGGGGTAAGAAAGAGGGGGGGGGCCTCGGCTCTGCCCCCCACCCCTCCCTGTAGCCCCTGCCCCTGGCGGGTTGTCCCCACTCCGCTCCCCCCCCGGGGGCAGCTCTCTATATAGTTACAGCCTCATCCCGCACTCGGGCTCGTCCCAGGCACAGCTCCCAGGCGCGACCGGGCTGGCTGCCCCGCTCCCACCCATAGCCACAGCAGCCACGCCGCACCCGCGACCCCAGCAACACCGGCCGCACGTGGTCGGCACCAATCGGGGCGCAGGAGGCATCTTCGGCAGCCAATAGGAAGGCAGGTGGGACTGGGGTAGAACGTTGGCGCGGCTGTTGTTGCTACAGCGGGCAACAAAAGCGCGGGAAACGATGGTGGGGGAGGGGTCTGTAGCCGTGGGAAGGGGCGAGCGCGACCTCAAGTGCTCCTCAGTGAGGCACGAATGGGCCTCCCCTGCCTCATCCAGAGTGATTCCTCCCCGGTCTGTGGTTCTGGCCAATGTGTAGCGCCCCGGGGCTGTGCACCGTCTGTCCGCTCGCTTCTTACAGCGCTTTTGAACCCCGCGGGAGCACTATCTGCATTGCAGCCCGCGGTCTGAGTCTGCATTCCCGTGGGGGCTGCGGGGACTACAAATCCCAGCATGCAGTGCGGGCAGACCGCCCTCACGGAGAATTGCATGTTGAGATTTGTAGTTTGCAGAGAGTGGATCTGAGCTGCTGATGAGAGAGGTTCGGGCCAGGAATTAGCCTTCAGGTGTAGCTGGGCATCCCCAGGCTATGCTCAGTGTGTTGTGCTCAGATTCTCTTATCTCTTGTCATAGATTTCATAGACATTAGGGCTGGAAGGGACCTCGGAAGATCATCGAGTCCAGCCCCCCCCCCCCCAA